GACATGCTACTCTCTATCACACCAATATCAGCATTATACATCCACTTGGGACCCTTGGATCCAATTTATGCAGAATCCACCCATCTAAGAGTCAAATGAGGCCTCCCCCCCCCTTCCTTCCACCATCCCCCCTCCCTCATCACACCATCCCTCCCCCCCCTCCTCTCCACCAAGGCGGACAGGGGGACGACCCAAAAGTCAACAGAACAGTCAGACCAGATGAGGACACGTATACATAACAGACTACCATACGAAACCCACAACCACATTAAGGTACCACCACCACGACAGATTCCAGGGAAAGTTCAAGCTACACAGACTATTATACCAAACAGACCCACTCCGAATAGCCAGGTTGAAGCTGAAACAAATGGACTCACTGTTATATAAACCAACCCCTGTAATGTTCAGATTATGACGCACAGTTGTACTGATTCAAAAGCTTGTCAATTTGGTCCTGCAGACCGATCACTACTTGGACTTATTATGTATCATCTGCAATGCTTCAATAAAAACAAAAAAAAACAAAAATCAGAGAGTGCTAATCACTATTTATACATATTTGAATTTTCCTGGATTTCAAGCACCCGGCAAACAGTCTACTAAAGCGTGAGTGCAAGGACTTTCTACATTTTGTTATATATATATATATATATAAATATAAATATATATATAGATATATATATATTGGTAACAAAATACACTTAGAATGACATTCTATATATAGCTATCTAGAATTTAATTTCTCACACTTTTTTAGATTTTTCTCATAGCAAATTGTTAAAAATATATATGAATTTGTGATATGAACGGAAAGCCCTATTTCTCCTGAACAAAATTATATATAATAAGTGTGGGTGCACTCAATATGAAAGAGGTGAATTACGATTGAACAGATATATAGTGCAAAAAAGAAAAAAAAAGGAGAGAAAAACAAGTAGCAAGAGAGGTGAGAACAGACAACAGTTTAATTAGCCTGCCCTTCGGTGAGTCTCCACTCAGATCTCAAGCTGGTTTTAGCTCAGCTTATTTTTCTCTATTATTTTTCTTGACATATAGTGCAAATTACAGATTTTGTTTACATTTTCTTTTGATCGGAACGTGTACAATTGGCTTCATCCTTAAGGGGTTAATATAATGTGAAGATTTATTTTTAAAGATCAGGGTAGTTTTTAAAAGTATTTATATTGGATAATAGTAAAATACAAGACAAATGATTTGTTAGATGAATAGTTATTTGAGTTAAGTCAAAGATTGAATATGCAAATTCTAGAAAATAATAGCTTAACGAGAATGTAACACAGTTGGGGAATTATTTGAGATCAACAACTGTGTCCAAATTTAGCAAATTGGTTTCCAATTTACATAATTTCCACATTATGTTTATAAACTACTAGGTTTTTATGATGTAAAATAAAAACAGTTCAGAACTTGCATTTTCTTAACCCTTACGTGACAAGCCATCAAAGTTTGGTTGTTCATAAAGAAATCAGTTGCAGCCAGGGCCAGCATTAGGGGTATAGGTGAGTATAAATACCCTAGTGTTCAATTTGATTGGCCCCTGTCATATCCATGCCCCCAAAATGTGAGTGTATGGGGAATGTGGAATGACATGGGTCAATGGGAGACCGTTTCACATTTCGGCTCCCACTGTCCCTTTAAGAGTGCGGTCAGTGCCCGCTGTAATGGATCACCTGGCACCCTGACTGGGTACCTCCGTTGAAGGATGCTCCTAGCGCTTCCTGAGGACTCCAAGCACTCTGGCAGACACCACAATCACCGAACCGGAGAAACAAATAAATTCTCCCAAGCATATGAATGCTGTAGACAGTTGAATAGGAACCATATGAATAGGTTTACTCTCCTAGCAGTCAAACTGGAACAGCATACAATAAATCCTTCCCCCAATAATGAGACAACACTTCACTTTGAGGGTTAAGCAGGAACTCCCTGTACTGTCACATACAGTCTCTTTTATTCCCAAACCACAAACATAGTACAGCCCACAGGGCGTTACAAAACAACCAATCAATCCGTACAATACACCCAGACACTCCCACACAAAATCCTCCCCTCTGCCTGTGATATGATTACTGAACACAATGGGTAATCTCATTATCACCGGCAGAGGAATACAGTTTTTACACAATATTTATAACTTCTAAAATATACATGTCACAAACATAAAACATACATTTTCATAATCAATCCATTCAGGGAACAACATATTAAAAAATGGCACGAATCAGACCAGGGGTTCAAAAGTTAAGGGAAAGTCCTTTGTGACTAAATGAAGCATGGCTTTCCGGCCCAAACCAGTTTCAGAGTCTTCTATCCTGGAGATAAGTGAGAAGTAATTCAATTATCTCCCAGGACAGACACAAGACTCCATTATGCACATGGTGAGCACAAAGCTTAAAATATTATAAAATACACAAAGTCACATTTTATACATAAAACACAGACATGTCACATATCCCCAGATAGCTGGGATCTGAGCGCACAAAACTACAGAATAGTGCTCAGATCCTATTCACACAGTTCAATTGCCATGGAGCCGAAGTCTTTAACTACATGAATGGGCTCCATGGCATAGCTATCTGAGTTAACACATTCACATAAAGTCTGGTCCATAGTCCAAAGGCAAGAGGCGGGCAAGCAGCCCCCTCCAAGGACACGTGGCGAGGCCGGTTTCGCCACACCCGCCTTCCTGTAAACTCAGTCAGACGAGCCGCACGCGGCTCGTGCATATGCAGAACCGTGAACAGAGGACCTCGGCCGGCCCCCGGAGAGGGTAAGTACCGCTACAGTACTCCCCCTTGAAGACATGCCCACTGGGCGGGGTGGGCCAGGCCTGGCAGGAAAACGAGAATGGAAGGAGCACAGAAGGCGAGGAGCGTGAACAGCGTCAGCGGAATTCCAACTGCGTTCCTCAGGGCCATACCCCTTCCAATGCACCAGGTACTGGAGGCGACTATGGAGAAAACGAGAGTCAAGCACAGCAGCCACCTCAAATTCCTCATGTCCCTCCACAGAAACAGGAGGAGGAGGAGGAACATGTCGGGTATAACGGTTACACAGGAGTGGCTTCAACAAGGAGGTGTAAAAGACGTTAGGAATACGCAGGTTCCTAGGAAGATCTAAGGCATATGAAACAGGATTCATTTTATGTAAGACACGAAAAGGACCAATAAAACGGGGAGCCAGCTTCGTAGAAGGCACACGAAGGCGGATATTGCGAGTGGAAAGCCAAACCCTTTCCCCCACAACATAGGATGGAGCCGCTCTGCCTTGTTTGTCAGCTTGAACCTTTTGGCGAGCAGCAGAGTACACCAAAGAACGCTGAACCTGCTCCCAGGTAGAACGTAAACCAGCCAAATGCTCATCCAGAACTGGCATGCCCTGTAAGGAGAATGCAGCTGGAAGAAAAACACGATGCTGGCCATAAACAACGTAGAAAGGGCTATTACCGGAAGATTCATGAGCAGCGTTATTATGAGCAAACTCAGCCCAAGGAAGCAGGTCAGCCCAATTGTTCTGATGGTGGGATACGAAACAACAAAGATACTGCTCTAGGGATTGGTTGGCACGTTCGCTGGCGCTGGGGATGGTAAGCGGAGGAAAATGAGAGAGAAATGCCCATCTCCAAACAAAAGGCTTTCCAGAACCTGGAAATAAACTGGCTACCCCTATCGGACACTATAGACTCTGGTATACCATGTAACCGAAACACCTCCCTGGCGAAGATAGAAGCAAGTTCCTTGGATGAGGGCAATTTGACAAGAGACACAAAATGAGCCATCTTAGAAAATCTATACACTATCATCAGGATGACTGTTTTACCATTTGAAGGAGGCAACTCAACAATAAAATCCATGGACAGATTGGACCAAGGCCTCTCGGGTATGGGTAACGGTGCAACAACCCACAAGGAACTCTATGAGAAGACTTCATACTGGCACAAGTAACACATGCCCGTACGTAATCAGTGATGTCCTTGCATAAGGAGGCCCACCAGAAATATCTAGAAACTGCTGTTAAGCTTTTAGTGATACCAGGATGCCCAGCAGTTTTGGTGTCATGATAGAGACGAGTGACATAATTTCCTGTCTTTCAGGAACATCGACAAACAATTTATCAGCAGGTCTCTCTCTAGGTGCCTTGTTTTGTTTAGCCTGTATGACTTGCAAGAGGGATGAAGAAATAGAGAGAACAGTAGTAGCTATTATTCTGTCCGGGGGAATGACAGGGGTATCATCAAACTCTTGTTTGTCGGTAGTTTCGAATTGTCTGGACAGAGCGTCAGCTTTAGTGTTACGATCACCTGGTCTGCAGGTGATGATATAATTGAAGCGAGATAAAAACAGTGACCATCTGGCCTGCCTAGAAGACAATCTCTTGGCTTCACTAAGGTAGGAAAGGTTTTTATGATCAGTAAGTATAAGGATGGGATCCTTAGTACCCTCCAAAAGATGTCTCCATTCCTTAAGTGCTACAACAATTACAAGGAGTTCTCGATTGCCTATGTCATAATACTTTTTCGGCCTTGGACATTTGCTTGGAAAAGAAACCACACGGATGTAATGGCTTCTCTGGTGATTCCCTTTGAGACAAGACAGCACCCACCCCAATATTTGAAGCATCAACTTCAAGAATAAAAGGCAAGGGGGGCGTGGCTTAGCGAGCAACGCGGATGGTAGCACTAGTCTGAGCTCCGCTCCACACTAGCCCAAAAAAGCGAAGAAAACAGCATTTCCTGCGAAAAAAAAACAAAATCCTCAACTCACCCAGCAATGACCCACCCAAAGCATAAAAAAAAGGCTGAAAAAACTGACAGGTCGGGGTTCTTTGTGGCCGGAGCGTCGACGCCGAAAGTTGCAGGCCTGACAGACCAGGACCAAGATATCGACGGTGGGAACGACACACTGCCGCTGCAGTCATCCCCGAGCTCCCACAACCTACCGGTAACCCAGGATTTCCTGTAGAACTGCTTGGAGGACATGTCCAGCAAAATCCTGGCATCCATCCAAAGCACTCTGAGGGAGCTCAACAAAAACGTGCAGGAGCTGGGGGACAGAACCGCTCAGGTAGAACAGCGCATGGAGGAGCAGGCATCTGCACATAATGAAATGGCAGACCAAGTGCAAAGCCTGCAGCAGCAATTGGACCAGACACAAAGAAAAATTATGGATTTGGAGGACAGATCTCGGAGACAAAACAGGTTCTACCTGCATACCTAATAGAGTACTTCAAGGCTTTAACACCTGACTTACCAGCGAAGGTACTGATTCTGGACAGGTACCACAGAGTCCAAAAACCAACGTTCCTGCCGTAAGACACGCCAAGGGATGTGCTAACCCACTTCCACTACTTCCATGTGAAAGAGGCAATTCTCCAGGCCACGAGAGGGAGCAGAGACCTGCCACAAAAATTAAACCATATAAAAATCTTCACGGACCTGTCAGCGGCTACGCTACAGAAAAGAAAAGAATTCAAGGCAACCACAGAGACCGTACGCAACAACGGCATCCAGTACCGATGGGGATACCCGATCTGCCTACTGATCAGGAGGAATTGCACGATGATGACGGTAAACACTCCAGAGGAAGGCCGCAAACTTCTGCGCAGCTGGGGCATCCCACCAACCCAAGAGGGGAAAACCTCGGCAGACCAGCACAGACTGTCTCCGAAGTGGAAGAGGACCAAAAAATGATCTGAAACATGGACTTAATGCGTGAGATGAGGAATGACAGAGACTTAAGAGGGAGCGGAAAGACACTGGGTCGCAAGTCTATCTGACACACAAGTTACACACATACACAGCTTCACACTCACTCCACATTGCACATAGTCACACCATTAAAATGGCATATGGCAATGCCCAGCAACTGAATACACACGAGACACAAAAAAAAAATTGAAAGGAGCTGAGACCTATGCAAACCCGACTAGAAAATACGCTCCAGCCACGTAGAAACCCTCACTCACCTCACCCTCCGCAATTCAGACATAAGCCACACGCAGGTCAAAAGACAGCGAGTAATGGGCATAGCATGCTCACCCAGTAACGCTACACGCACCACTTTAAGGGTACACCACGCACCCCCCCCGGCACCACATAACTGGTGCTTCCCCCTTCAGTGGGTAATGTTCAATCGTACCTTTGAGATACTGTTTGTTATTTATGTTGCACTGTTTGCCTCAAATGTCATGCATACTGATTGCAATACCCTAACCCTAACCCACATCACCAGACAGATTCCAAACCACACAGTAAACCTCCACGTTGAGGACTACAGGACCTAGCGAGTAGTAGCACAACACCAGAGGAGATCACATTATGAGGGACTCACTGCTATGGGGTCCAGAGATAATGAGCAGGACGCACTAGTCCCCAAGAACAAAAACAAAAAACACCAGTACAACCCAATAGAATATGAAGATATACTGCCATAATGTAAAAGGTTTAAACACACCGGTGAAAAGGTATTGCCTCATAAGGGACCTGCACAAAGAATACCCTGATGTGGTGTGTCTGCAGGAAACCCACTTCAAAAAAACGATAACCCTAGCACAGGCATAATACAGCACAGTTCCATAGTACCTCTAAGTCCAAAACCAAGGGGGTATCCATCCTCGTCAGCAAGGATGTGTCTTTTAAACAGCTATACGTATCCATAGTCAAAGAGGGCAGGTACATTATCATGATCTGCGAAATCAATAACCTGGAACACACGATAGTCAACCTATACGCACCTAACACAAACCAGAGGAACTTTCTACATAAAGCAATCTCACTAATACAACAGGTTCAGAGGGGCGTTACAATAATCTGCAGTGATTTTAACCATATACTGGACCCCAAGTGGGATACCACAGATCAGCCTAACACCCCCAGATCAGCTACCCTCCAGAGGGAATGTAAGCCACTAACACGTTTGCTCAGAGAACATGACTATTATGATGCATGGAGGGTGCAGCACCCTGGGGAGAGGGACTACACCTTCTTCTCTCAGGTGCATAACACATACTCGCGAATCGACGGGTACTATATAAAGGGCACATACCTCAATCACATCACAGGCTGTTCCATAGGCACCATAACGTGGTCGGACCATGCCCCAATAACCCTAGAACTCTGTGATACATACGACTACAAACACCGCAGCCCGTGGAGACTAAATGAGTCTCTACTAACAGACCCACAATACTGCGACACAGTAAAAGACGACCTCTCCCACTATTTCGCAACGAACCAAACCCCAGATATCACGCCAGAAACAGTGTGACAAGCTCACAAACCAGTCATAAGGAGACTCCTTGTAGGGAAAGCTAGTGCACTAAAACGAGCAACCCAAATAAAAAGAAAGGAATGGCTGACTACCTTGTACAAACTAAATAGACAGAACCAACTAACACCAACCACGCAACTAAAAGAACAAATCAGACTAGTCATAGACGAGTCTGATTTTGCTCCCCAAAAAAATCCTAACCATTTTGAACTTTTTATGGACATTCAAAGATTTTTTAGGAAATTGACCATTAAACGTTTTTTGGAAAAGAAAGGTGACATTAACAACGACTTAAATGTATCACAAAGTATGTTCTCTGTAATTTCAGAGACAGAACCAGAAATAATAAATTCAAAGTTAAAACCAAAGTCAAATTTTTTTCCAACTTGGGAAAAGGGTGAATATATCCCAGTTTTTTGTGATATGGTATTAAACGATTTCGAAAAAATTAAGAAAAAAAGAGGGAGAGTAAACCTGTCTCATAATGAGAGAAAAGCAATAAAAGATCTTAAAGAAAAATTTGATATAGTTATTAAACAAGCGGACAAGGGAGGCGGAATCGTTATTATGGATAGAGATATGTATTTAAAAGAATCCCATAGGATTTTAAATGACACAAAAACTTACAAAATTCTTAAAGAGAACCCAAGTAATGATTTCAAGTCTGAACTCTATAGCATTCTATTGGAGGCCTTGGAACAAAAAGTTATTACAAAGATGGAGTTTGAATATCTTTTTGTTGATTTTCCAAAGTTGGCTGTTTTCTATCAATTGCCAAAGATCCATAAAGATCAAAAAAATCCACCGGGAAGGCCCATAATTAGTGGCATAGGTTCCCTCACTAGCAACATTTCAGAATATGTAGATCTTTTTTTACAAAAATATGTTATATCAGCCACCTCTTATGTCAAGGACTCTACCCAAATGATTAGAGAACTAGAAGGTAAGGAGTGGAAGGATGACTATCTATGGGCCACAATAGACGTCACCTCACTCTATACGGTCATTGACCATACAAAAGGGATAAGAGCTATAAAAGAAACACTAGATAGAGATACAAGTATGTCAAAAAAACAGATGGAATTTATTTTAAGGTGTATTAATTTTATTTTGCATAGAAATTCTTTTTGGTTTGAGGGAACACATCTTCAAATCTGTGGTAGCGCCATGGGCACCAGGTTTGCCCCTAGCTACGCGAATATTTTTGTAGCCAATTGGGAAGAACGATGTATTTGGAGCAATAATCCGTTCGGGGCAAACCTGGTGCTATGGAAAAGGTATATAGATGATGTTTTAATTATTTGGAAGGGTGATAGGTCAATTTTTAATAGTTTTATGAGCTATGTAAATTCAAATAGCTATGGTTTGGTTTTCACACAGGAAATAGGAGATAGCCAAATCAATTTTTTGGACCTCACTTTTTTTATTGAATGGAATTTGATATGTAGCAAAACTTTTTTTAAACCCACAGATTGTAATAGCCATATAGATTTTTCTAGTTGTCATAATCCTATATGGCTAAAAAATATCCCTAAAAGTCAACAGATGAGATTATTTAAAAATTGCACTAATAAGGTGGATTTTACAAGTCAGGTTAAAATTTTGAATAAAAGATTCATAGATAGGAATTATCCAAAAGAGTTACTCACAAAAAGTTTACAAGATATTGAGGATAATAAAAGGGAAGAAATTTTACAGATAAAACCAGAGATAACTAAATTAGACACTAATGTATACAATATGGCCTTTACAACAAAATACAACAACAAAGCAAATAAAATTGAGAAAGTGTTTAGAAAATATTGGCCGATTCTACTGCAGGATATACATCTACAAAAAATATTGCCTAAAAAACCAAAGATCGTCTATAAAAAGACTGATAACTTAAAAACGATTTTAGCTCCTAGTGTTCTTCCAAAAATGGTTCTAAAGAGCAAAAATATAAATAAAGATTTTTTAGCAAAGAAACCTAATGGCTTCTTTAAATGTGGAAATTGTAGTACCTGTAAATACCAAAAAAGAACCACTACCAATTTTAAAAGTTCTGTTACAGGTGAACATTTTGAAACTAAACATTTTATTACCTGTAGTAGTAAAAATGTAGTATATTTGTTGGAATGTGTATGTGGAATGCAGTACATAGGTCGCACAATTCGCAAACTACATGAGAGATTAAGAGAACATTTTTATGGTATAAAGAAGAAAAGCGATAAACATAATGTCCCTCGACACTGTAACCAATGTTCCGCTTTTGTTTTCAACAGTTTTGTGTGTCTAGGTATCGACTTGGTTGTTCCACATTGGCGAGGTGGTGGTGACACCACCAAAGCACTAGCCAAAAAAGAAACTGAATGGATCTATAAGATGAAATCCTCTACTCCACGAGGTCTAAATACAGATTTAGATATTCTAGCTTTTATGTGATGTCTATTGGTTATAACATAATATATAATCTTCTAGTTTTATAGATATTTCTTATCTGATGTATGTACATGTTTTGTGTTAGATATTGAGATCTTCTATATATTTTTTTATGAGATTTCTATTAATGTATAGAACTATATATTTCTGGATATTATATTCAGATCATTATGTATGACCTTTCACCTACTGTATACATTTTAATGGTGAGGTATAATTCCTGTCCATTTTTTGGACCCTAGATTGTAAGGTTTGCCACAAAATGATTGATACATGCAATATTTTTTAGATTATATTTTTTAGAGTTTATTTTTTCTACATATTAAAATATTACATTATATTATTATTATATTATATTATTTTTTTACATATATATTAATTTTGTGGCACACTTAGGTCATATTATTTCGATTGTAAGCATCTATTGTAACGAACAGATCGACACATGTAACTGCTATCAATATAGCTTAGGTGTTTCAATGTGTCTTTGTTTTCGGATGCCAATAAAGTTTCAACATGCATCAATT